CGTTTTTCTTCAACTTTTCCAATGCCTTTTATTGTTAATTCAAGTGTTTCATAACTAATCCAAAGATCAGAATCAACATGACGTATAAAAACAATTGTATCACCATATTTTATTGTTGGTGCGCCTAAATTTTCTTGTTCAGCAATTTCTTCAGTTTGTTTTTCCTAAATGAAAACAAAAACAAATCTTAATTTTAAAAAATTTATCATCTATTAAATCTTTATACTTTCGACATTTTCATTTCGAATGTTACGGCAATTGCACTTGCATTCTTCTTCGATATACATGTTACTTTCGGACCTAGTAGTATAAATTTTACAATAAAAAAAAGAACTGACTTTTTTTTGATAATGATTATTACCATGTTCATCGCCAATAACAGCTAAATAAAGACCTGAGGTAACATGCCGAAGGCGAACTAATGAACTCCAACCAACAAAACCACTATACCATCTGTGAAAAAGAGAAATTGTCATATTTTTCCAAAAAAAAAAACTATTTTTTTATTTCATACTTTATTTTAAAACATTCAATACGCCATAATGATCGAGCTTGATGACAGGCAGCACCACTTTTAATAAATAAACTAAAACAACAAAATCAATTGATTAACATATAAATAAATATCAAGAGTATGTATTCTCTTGGGTGTTAGCTTATTTATTTATTTATTCAAGTACATTGGCCTTCATGTTAGTTCTATTATAATTATTATTTGATAACTTATGAACAAATTACAAATAATATTTTCATGATAAAAAAGAAAAGAACCGAATTCTTTTTTTCTTTCTACTCGAAGATTTCTCTTGAGAATTAAATTTGATTTACAATTATTTAATCTTAAAAAGATTCAATTTATTGGATAATCCAAATAAAGTGGCAATGTCAGGTTGTTGTCAATATCTTTTTTAGTTGTTTCCATTTGAACGTTGATTGTTTTTTTGCAAAAGATTATTCGTTTAATTTTGCACACACACAAAAAATATAACATTTTTCTTTGTTTTATTCAATAATATTTTAAGAAAGTAATCATTTTGTAGCTACAATTCAAAATTTTACATATCAACAGTTTCGAGTATTAAAAACATATGATTCATTTTTAGATTATTCTTATTTTAAGAAGAAACTTGATATGTATTGCTTTAGAAACCTGCAATTATTTAAAGTTTTGAATCGTTTTTGTTGAATGATAAGAGAACACATCGAAAACAAAGATTCCTTACAAGGAAAAATACTAAACTATCATATGTTGTTCGACTTTATATTATGGCTACGAGTAGGTCTCGGTGGAACTAAGATAAGTTTAAAAAGATTTAGATCTATGGCTTAGTGATTAAAAAGTTATGGCTGTTTTAATGAAATTGTTCCTGAGACCAAGACATTTCTGGAAAACTCAAAACAAAGAGTTTGGAAAAGAAATTTTGCTTATAAGCATGTTTAATAGTCCTGAAAGTGTTAATGAAATCAAACATGTCTTCGTCAAAGATATTCGATTTCCAAGTAAACTCGATTATTGTGTCTTTCTATCATAAATCGCTGGTTTTTTTTGGATGTTGAATATCTTGAGAAAGATGTATTCGTTTTCATTGAAATCTTCAGGACTATCAAACGTTCCTATAACCGAAATTTGAAGTCGAAATTTTTTGTTCTATTTTCAGGAATAATTTGACTGAAACAGTCATAGCTCTTTATTATTAAGTCATGCGTCCGAACCCTTGTAAACTTGTCTCGGTCTCACCGAGACTTACTCGTAGCCATAACACGAAGTCAAATGGCATTCGACAATTGAATATATTTCCTCGTTAGCTATTTGTAGAAAACTATTAAAATGTTTTTCAGCAAAAAATAACCTTTAGAAAATTGGACGTTGCTGGGATCTTATAGTATTATCAGGATAATTTTTCTACAAAATTAAACGAGAAATCTTTTGACGAAGAAAAAAAAGTTTCGAATACAGCACTGAAGAAGATATTAATATCATTATTTCAATTTCTCTTACCTTCCAGAATCATCAATAACTTGAGAATCCGGTGGTGGTGTTGTAATACAATGATCCATATTTCCATGCATTAATCGTATAACATCACCACCAAGTACAAAACCTGGATTTTTAACACGTGCTACACCACTTGATATGGGTACAAGACTCCAGACTTGCTGACGAAATGATGCATTAACTCGCCCACGTTCATTTGTTGACATATATGCATGCTAAGAAAATATTGAAATAGAAGTTTGCTTTTTTTTTTTAAATATTTAATAAAATTTTTTATACAAGATATCGTTCTGAGAAAACTGAAACCAATATAACATCATCATTGAAGCGCACTTTTTCGCCTTCACTTCTTTGTTTTGATGCTGGATGAATAGTCCACCAACAAGATTCGCCTAAATGATAAATTATACATTTTTTTTTCAAAAAAAAAAAAATCTGCTTTATAATTTATCTTTAACATACCTTGTGCATCTTCTTTTAAGCCTACATCAAAAGCGAGCTTGTCATTTGATGTACTTGTCGATAGACAACTCAAGTACTAAAATTAATTCATTTTTTTTTTGTTTATTTAATTAAAAAAGAAAAAAAGAATTAAGTTTTTTTTTTACCATTTGACTATGATAATGTCGAAGAAGAACAGCATGACCATATAATAATGTTCGAAATGTTGTTTGTCCTCCTTGATTTCCAGATGACTTTAATAAATGATTAAATATAATTGATTTGAAATAACAAAAAAAAATATGTATGTATATAAAATTTACCTGTTCAGTTGAAGTTGTATTTACCATTTCTTGCAAAGCTCGAACTGATACAGCTTGTTCGAGTACAAATATACATGATGCCAAGTCAGGACAACAAACCTGATATAATAAATTAAAATAATTCTCATTTAAACAAACATGTAAAGGTCAAAATATTATCACATGACAAAATGTATCAATCTTCTATAGATAATTTTTTCTTTTTCTTTTTATTAACCCGCTTTCATAAAAACCATAAAGCAGGAAAACAAAAGTTAACATGCAATGAATAAAAAAAGCATGACAAGCAGTAAATATACATATACAACAATATAAAATAATAATCATAATAATGAGGGATGTCTACCATTGAATATTTTCTACCTCATTAGATATATCTTCAAGATAACACATTCGATTTCCGAATACTTCACCCGATAAAGCCATACGTTTTACACCTGATACAGGCACGCAACTTAAACATAAATGATCTTCCTAGAAAATACAAAGGATTATAAAATAAGTTAATATAAAGAAAATTGATTATTTACCGTTCGCATAAACTGAACATCATCATCTTCAGCGCCCAACATATGTTCACCAGCCATGATTTTTTCAATATTATCTTTCTATATCTTATCGATATATGTTCATATACATCATCATTATAATCATTTTGATCTTCAATAAAGTAAAAACATGAATTTCACACTTCCTTTTTTTCTCTATCAACGAATCAATTGAGCGCATATATAACAGCACTACGACTGAATGAACCGGATGCGCTTTGTCTCTCTATCGATCTATATTTTCTATTTTTTCTTTATCTCTCTGTCTCTTCTTCTTCTACTTGCTTTCGTCGATCTAATAAAATCACGAGTGTGTTGCCGACCAACGATGACAAAGGACGAGAAAGGAGACAGAGACGACTTCAAGGGCACATGCATGCTATACAACGCTACAGGATGATAGCAAGCTCTATCTCACCCGCGCGCTCGCGCTATTACTAATAGTTTTAGATGATCGACGATATGCACAAAAGAGCAGCGGCAATAGAAAAAAGAATATGATGGTAGAATACTCTTTCGTTATATATATCTATCTATATATATATAGATAGATATATAACAGCATCATCAGAAAGAAACAACAATTACACTCTTTCTGTCTGCAAAAGAAAAAGAAGAAAAAAACCTAAAACGAGTAAATATCATCATAAATCAATGATAATGATGTAGGTTTTTTTCTTGAACATTTTATTTAAAAAAAATGAATTAAGAAAATGATTAATTTTTACCATCATATTAACAGTATATAAGATAGTTACTTAAAAATAGAATAGATAAATAGATGAGTTAAGAAAGATCAATTCGAACAATAGCATCTGTCTGGTAGAATTGTCTCAGAGGAATAGAATAGATAGCAAATGATGGCAAGATACCATTACATCTCTCCGACCTTTTTTCTCTTTTGGTTCGAAGGAAGGAGAATGAGATAGTTTTCTGAATATGAGGCGTGTATATTTGTATGTTTGCGTGTACTGACATCAAGAAGAAGAAGGCCATAAGAGGGTGCTAGAGTAAGAAAGAAGAGAGATCTGGAACGAATTGATGAGAAAGAAGAAGAAGAATCCACTAACATCGCTAACCATCATTTTTCTGTCCATATGTTAAGGCAAAGAGAACAGGATATGGTGACAACAGTTGTTGTTTCCAACATTGTTTATATTGTTTAGCTAGAGTATATAATGCATAATAATTCACACTACCGTCGTTGAGAACAGCGTATAAGCAATGAATTGCTGATAATCAGTGTTATAAAACATACTGAGAAGGAAAAAAGGAAAACATTGAAGATGAAAAAATTAAATGCTTCTCCATGGTCTAAGTCGATCATACACACTTCTTGTTGTCAATGTTAGTTGTTCGTTCATTACATTCATTTCCGTTTGATGATGATGATGACTTGTGCAAATAAAATGCCCATGCACATCTATCTATCAAGAACTTATTGTCAAGACACAATTACTCCTTTTCTTTTTCAAAAATGCTCATGTAAAGAAAAGAAAGAGACCCATTCATGATGTTATTTTTGTCATTAAATATTGATTAGTTTCAATCAATCTTTTTGATTGACAATTTAAACTGATCAGTCAAGGTCAAAAAAAAAAAAAGATTTCTTTTTTTTCTTTTTTTTCCCTTATATTTATAAATCAGTAATATCTGATTTCTATCACGAATAAGAAGTCACTAGTCTTCTATTTATTCTATAGCTGTTTGATTTCGATGAATACGTTGAATAAGTTCAATAAATGATGCATAACTCATTGTTAATAAATTCATGTAGGCTTTTTCTGTTGATATTGTTGGATATAATTGTTGTTGATGTTGTGAAGGAAATGAATTAAAACATGTTTGAGATATAAGATATGAAAAATAATCCAATAAATCTTTATCATCTTCAATTTGCAATGTTATTAATGTTTTAACAAGTTTATCGTAATCACGTGTTTGTACTGATATTGTTCGCCAATATTTTGGTATATAATAAAATGAATCATTTTTTTCTTTCGATAATATATTATCATTAAATATGAGATAGATATCACTTTCGTCTATTTTTCGATCACTATCATCCATTTGCCATGTCGTCATATGTTTTTTTATTTGAATAAATGATATATCTGTTCGTGTTAAAAGATTTTCTTTATTAATTATTATCTGTAAGTATTTCATTATTTTATTAATAGTTAATTGATCAAGTCGACTAAGAATTTTATCTGGTAAATCAAGATGAGGATATTTTATTTCATATATAGACCAATGTTGAATTAAAGATGATTGTTGTTCTTTATGATGATTACGAATTTCAATATTAATTTTAAAATTATTTAATTGATCAATATCATGTATTTTTAGACATACATCTGTATTTGTTAAAAGAAAATATATATCAATATAGGATGACTGATGAGAATATTTTTCCTCTGTAATTGATAATATATTTAATTTAGTATTTAATTTAAATGGTACAATTGAAAAATTTTTTATATCTGTTTGATTATTTTCATCATTTGATGTTAATGGATAAAATAATCTCCATTCAAAATATTCTTCTTCAGACATTTTTATATTATTAAAAATTAGTAAAAAAAAAAAAAAAAAGAAAAAGACGAAGAAAAAATAGCGCAAATATTAAAACCTATATTTTTTTTTTATTTCCTCGTTTTTCTTTTTTTTTTCCTTTAATCGAATGTTTATGCAAAGAAAAATAATTGCTAACGAATAATATTTGAGCGCAGTAAATTAAAAGAAAATTTTTTATATTTGCTTTGCAGGTAATTTTCCTTCAGAAAAGAAAAATGTAACGGATGATTGATGGCCTTTCTTTCTCTTTTTCTCTTTTTTTGTGTCGTCGTTTGCACATAAATGACAAAAATCTGTATAGTAGCTATTGTGATTATACATGCTTTAATTCACCTATCATTCAGTTGTCTAGTTTGTTATTTACAATACGTATCATCACGTGTTGTTTTTTTCTAACTTGTTTTTTTTAGATATTTGTTCGTTTTAAACAGTTTATGGGAAATATCACTATGGGAAATATTAGTGGCAATATTCAACGAAAGTGATATTTTTTATATTTACTTCTCTACGTTTATATTCTTAGTTTTTTTTTTTTAGAATAAATACATTAAAAAAACGAAATCATTCAAATCGTGGAGCTAAACCTATTAATGCGTTACTTATTGTTGATGTACAATATGATTTTATTGATGGTACATTAGCTCTTAAAGATTGTCCAAGTCATCATCAAGGTGAACAAGTTATACCGATTATAAATAAATTATTAAATGACATTCATTTTGACATTATTGTTTATACTCAAGACTGGCATACACCTGATCATATATCATTTCATGAAAATTTACCATTACGTGCACATCTACTTGCAAAAGAGTCTAAAAAGGTTGATGAATTAAAAGTATTTGATACAGCTATATTTTTACTTGATGATGAAGCAAAAACAAAAAAATTGCGTGTCGAACAAATACTTTGGCCAACACATTGTGTACAACACAGTCATGGTGCTGAATTACATAAAGATTTGCACATAGTGAAACCAAATAAACATCGTCAAGTTGTTAATTTATTCAAAGGTAATGACAGTGATATTGATTCATATTCAGCATTTTGGGATAATCAAAAAATTCGTGAAACAGCATTAAATACAAAATTAAAGGAACATAATGTTACAAATGTATTTATAGCTGGTATAGCAACTGATGTTTGTGTCTATTCAACAGCTTTACATGCCGTTGAATATGGTTATAGAACATTTATTGTTGAAGATGCATGCCGTGGTGTTGATGTAACCAATATCAATTTACGTCTTGATGAATTAATTAAACGTAATTGTGTGATTGTACAAGCAAATGAAATTAAAGACATAATTTGAACATATTTTTTTTTTTAAAAACAAAGAAAATCATTTATTCCCTTTTAAGCATAATATATTGAGTAAATAAGTGACGAAAGAACAGAAAAACAATATAGAATTGAATTGAAGAAAGAAAACAAAAAAAAAACAAAGAGACTCAATTAATTAAAAAAACAAAAAAATGAATAAAGCAAGAAAAGCAAAAGAAACCCAAAAAAGGAACATGATTACATGATAAGACAGCCAGCATGCTTGTTGATAAGACGGTGACCTGATTGATAGGTTTGGAGAAATTCTAATTGACGAAGATTGAATGAACCACGACGGCGTGAACGAATAAAATCAATAGATTCTTGTCGGTTCATACCAGCTTCACGTAAAGCCATGGCAACAAGAACAGGTGATCTATTCAAAATAAATATAATAGAATAAAAAGAAAAGATTTGAATAGAAATAAACGAACCGTCCAAGACCATGAATACAATGAACAGCAATACAACCATGTTTATTCTCTTTAACAATGTTCAGCCATTTATCACGAACAATTGAATCAGGTGCACTTCCATCGGGATATTCAAGATCCTTAAAAGAAAAGAAAATTATGACCTTTTATTTTCTATAAATAAAGTCTATTCTTATCTAGTCAATTTAAGAAAAAAACATGAGAATAAATAATGTGAATTTACTTATCACTGCCGACTTATTTTTATATACTTCGAAAACACGATTTATAGTTTCAGGGTATTAAAGCTAATTACAATGACTCAGCACTAGAATATACTCTTCTACGTCATTAATAATTAATACATACATAAACTTTAATCCCGGCTGCTTCAATTGGTTTTGCATCATAAGTTTTTTCTGAGACACGAACTAATACTGTAACACCATATTTTAAACAAGTCTATGAAAATAATGAATAAAAAATTTTACAAATTCAATTTCTCTTTTCATACTTCAATAAATGAGTGAACATTTTCATCAGCTGGACTGTTCGTAATTAAAAAACGAAGATGTTTATAACGAAGTTCCGTCATTGATGGATTATTGAGAAATTGAGCTGCAGGCATATTTGAATTAATTTTGTTCTTTTTATTAATGAAAACCTTTTTTTCTAATTTTTTTGTTGAGTTTTTTTTAATCTCTAAGTTTCGTTGATATAAGACACCAATCAAATTTATTTGAACAATATCGATATGGATAATATCGGTAATAATAATATTTAATATAATAGCGTACTAGTCAATATTGCGCTCGGCAAAACTCGCCCGAGAGCGTGCAGTCGTGCACGTATTCGGTCTACAAAAAAGATACAATTATTCGATATAAAAATTAGTTTTCAAAAACAAAATAAAACATCTTACCGCTTGTTTTCGCGGATTTTCAACCTGAACAGTTATAGGCATGGAATAATGGAAAGACGTTGTCGTCAAAGCTCGCTGAGAATGCTGAATGAATAAATAAATATAAATCTAAAAAATATAAAATATTGCACAATCAAACATGTTTACCAATCGAATTATAACGGATAAAGCTATAGAGAAAAATGAAAGAAAACGAACATATTTATCCACATACACATCCACATATGAATTTCAAGGCTCACATACTCGTACGCATACATAGACGGTCGTTTAACGAAGAAGAGAAAAGGAGCAAATATTCGATGACGGTAACAAAGAAGACGGGGAAACGAAAAGAAATGAAAAGAGCAACGAAATAAAATTTAATCACTTTATATACTATCTCGGAACGGGTAAAACATACGTAATTAGATTGTAAATGATGTCATGATAAAGTGAAAAATAGTGAAGAAAGGAAAAAAAAAAAAATTTTTTTTTTCGATCACTGTCACAATTTATCAAGAAAATTATATAAGATAGAAAATAATGATGTAATAATACTAACCATATATTATTATTGATTATATCAACAAAAAATAAAGGTTAAGATTTCATAATGTAAGAATACTGTTACTATAAAGAGTTGCTGCAATTGCAAACAAACAAATCAAGTAATACCCTCTCGTTCTCCTGTTTTTTTCAAAGTACGATGTATGCCGACTGTAGTTACATACAGCTATCCTCTATGAAGAGAAGAAGGAAAGAAAAAAAAAATATAAAGCAGATAAACAGCAACGGTTACCCTACACATCAGTAACAAATTCAGGAAGAATATAAGCAACACCCACACATAAATACATCTATTTTCTCATATAAAGTATTTGATGTGCCAAAGAGCAAATAAAAAAAAGAGGAAAGGACAAGGATCTCAATAACAAAACCAAGCATAGTATGATCATTTTTTTCTTCGCATTCTGCTTGTTAATGCAGATGGTGAAAACTCGACATGTTTGACGTCAACAAGAGGGTAAATTAGCCCATTTAATACGAAATAAGTACCCTGTAACAATGTATATACACTTATATAACGTTGTCTGACATCATATTTTTTTATTTTGCTTTTCCTTTTTCAATGCGGTTATATTTGCATAAGCAATAAAAAAACAAAAATCATTCGTCAGCATTACAATAAAATATTTGAATGATGCAAAGTGATTAGAATAAATAAAAATGATTCATGGATTTGAATTGAGTCAGAAATAGATAAATGCATTTCCAGATACTAATATATAAATATATGCAAGAGATAAGAAAAAATTAGTATCCTAACCTGTGAAATTACAATGAAATCTATATATATATATATCTAAAAGGTAAAGAAAATCATTCTTGTTAATATGATTTTCTTTTCTAATTTCCTCTATTAAGACATAAACAAACGCATATTGATGTAAAGCTAACAAAAAACCGGTTTTTTTTCTATAAGGTAAAGGTTATGCGTAAATCGATTTTGCTCTTACGCAAAAAATATTTACCACACAGGTGAGCGTAACTTTTTCTACTCGATATAAACTTCTATTATGATATGATATTATTTAATATAAATACTATTTTACATCAAATAATAAATTATGAAGATTAGCTTATCATAAAACATCAACTATATACTTAAAATCTTGAAAATTTTACCGAGTTCGTCTAGATTATGAATAATGCGATATGTGACTTCCGTAACTGCTTGATAATACGACAAAGACGCTAGGCGTAAACACTTTAGACTTCCCTTCGATTTCCGTTTTTCTTTTTATCTTTTAGAACATAAATAGTCATGCTCACTATAGATCTCGTTAAATCAATAGATGATAGTGCATATAAAACAAAAAACTTACGAATAAAAATATGCAACGCAGAAAAAGAAAAACAAATATTTCGTCACCAATAGAATTCTATACTGTAACCAGGCAATAATACAATGATATATTCTCAATAACACAAAAAGGAAAAACAGTTGGGTCTTACTCAGTATTTATTATGAAATTCAATAGATAAATTTATTCATTATGAATTCAAATATTTTCATGATTATAGATGCAGCAATGAAGCTGAATAGAATCTTCACTTTGTAAAACAAACAATTGTTGTATGATTAATATTATGCGAATAATTTTACTCAAGTCGAACAAACCTGTTATTTATTTTGGGGGGTGAAAATATTTTTTTTTACATTTTAATAAAGAAAATAAAATATTTGATAGGATATTGTTTAATTTCCGATTGTAACCATCGGATGACAACACTGATGGCAAAGAAATTGATTGGATGATGAAAATAACAAATGAATATTTAATAAAATAATAAAATTAGTAAAAAAGACCGATATAAAGAAATAAAAAGAATTTCTCTTTAAATATTTGATTTATTAAATAAATAAATTTTTTTTATTGTAATAATTCTTTATTTGATATATATATGTTATATCATTGGTTGAAATTTGTGCTCTTTTTTGTTCTTTGTGCGAATGTCTTGATCGAAGAAAAGAAAGCGGGAATATGTTCTATAGACATTAATTGTTTAACTTGATTTTTCGTTATTATGGAAGAAGTTCAAAAAACTCAAAATGATGAATCATCATCAGAAGATTGGAGTAAAGAAAATTTTTTATTTAAAAAGAAAAAAAGTTTTTTAATTAAAATTTTTCCACTATTTTCTTTTTTGTTTTTAAGCAATTACTTTTTGTGTTATCGGTAAAGCTTGTTCAAATACTCGTTTACTTTCCGCACTGGAAGATCGTTATGCATATGAATGTATAAATAATGAAGAACAAATTCTTCGAACATTATCCGAAACGAAACAATTATTAACTAAACGTCAATTACGTATATATGTCATTGAATCATTTGATGAAAATTTATTTTATAATTTAAAAGAAGATGAAAATATTTATATAATTAGTGCTGAACTTGTATTAACTTGTGCTGAAAAGAAAATTGTATGAATTTATTTGATATGATTGAAAAATCAAAAAAAAAAGACAACTTTTTTTCTTTATTTAAAGGATATTCCGGTTCCACGAAGAAATCGTCCATTGTATTCACAACATCTTTCTTCAGCTGTTATTTGTTTTGTTGGTGGTACTCGTCGAGAAATACATGTAAATAGTTAACTGTTAAAGTATACGAATAAAATTTTTTTTCAATCTTGAACGAAATTAAAAGGAACGAAAGTTATACAAAGTTTCAGCTTTTTCTCAAAATCAATTTTTTTAACAGGAAAATTGAACTTTTCTCCGAGACGCTTCGATCAATTGAACTGAAATGTTTTATGTGACAACTAGGATCAAATCGAGGTGTATATAGTTTTTTTTCTTAAAATAATATTTTGGCAGATTGTTACAACATTTGCTCTAGGTAAAAAACACACTTTTTTTGACAAAGACTGCCAGTATTTTGATTCTCCTGAGCGAAGGAAACAATATTTTTCAAAGAAAAATTCAATCATAAAAAATGAATTATGACTGTTTGGAGGGGAGAGACTTCAGGCTAATTTTGGTCGGACCATTCTTACGAAAGTCGGGACGAGAACATAACCATAAGTAAAAAGATGGTGAAGAAATAAGTTCCAAATCGAAAAAATAAATCAATCTCCTTGTGATTTACAATAGCAGCAATCTTGTTTTTTTTTGTTTTTTTATAAATATTATGTTTGTTTGGTTTTATAGACAAAATTTAGTGATATTGTTCACTATCTTGGTGGATCGGTTAGAAAAGATTATGGTGATCAAGTGACACATGTTGTTTCATTTGCTAATCTTGGTGAAAAATATCTTGTAAGAATTGATTTAAGTTTTTGTTTTTATTGTCAAAGTTTTTTTGTTTTTTCATATAGACAGCTTTTAATATGGAAAGAAGTGAAATTCTCACAGAAGATTGGTTATTAGAATGTTGGAAAGAACGAGATAATCGTACATTTGATGCACTTAATATAGATTTTATTCGAATGTATCGAGCAAAACCATTACATAATCTTAATTTGTTTTTTTTTGGTGCTGCTGATGAAACTGAACAACGACATTTACATACACTTACTCTTGATAATGGTAAAAAAGAATTTAATTTTTCATATATTTGATTTAAGAAGATAAAATTAGACAATTTAAGTGTTTAAACAGATATGTTTAACATACGGATGAATTGACTTTTTTTTGACAAAGAAAAAAAATAGTTATTAACACTCTTAATCTCAGTCATTAGTATGTTTATCTTGTTTTGAGAAAGCATAAGTGTACTATAAATGAGATTATATATTTGACGTAGGATGGTTCTAAAAATAGCCTTATTGCTAAACGCTTTTTTTTTATCTATAGAATAGCCAATAAATAATTAAATGATAAAAAACATCCAACATCTTCTCCTTGCTTTCATCAGTCGGACTGATTTATTTTTTCTCGGTCATAAAAACCTTTCTAAACTTTTTATTTATAAACAAACGAACAAATAGATACGACGTAGAACTAGCAATTGCGGTCACAAGTATCTCACATACTCTTATGGCTAGAAATATAATATATGAATTCTAAAGGTCAAGGAGAATTGACCTGATCAATCTATCGTTAAGTAAAATATCTTCATTAAAGGACTATATAATGGTTGGTTCGTCGAGTCATAAGCTCTTTCTCTTCTTGAATTATTGGATTCATAGTTAGGAAGTTTACCATTGACCGTAGCTCC